TTTAAATTAAAATTAAATTATTAACTATTCGGATTCGAGTCACATGTGAGCCTTTTGCCAAGAACGACACCAGTTTCCCATTCGATTACGGGCTTGTGTTCACAGTGCTGACGCCATAATTACATTCGACGATATCGAAGCTATCACTTACCTATATCTCTATGCCTATTTAATTATGCTTGAATCGCACTTCCGCGCGTATGCACGGTGAAAATAAAACACTCAAGAATTTTTTACGAACGAATTAACGCTATCTGCAATGCGACGAAAGTTGTGATAACGTTGTAAAAATTGTAATACAATAGCTAAGTTTCAATCACGCGCATTGACAATTTCTCTGTTACTTAATTGTAAGTTAATTCTAACAAGTGCTTATTATCTCTATATGTATATTACGATTTTACTTATGGTATGGAATAAGAAAATATGCAATAGTTAACGTGAATCACATCTTGCCGAAAGTATCCCCAACCATGAAGTTGTGCTTTTAAGCATTTAAATAAGATAATAATATTAATATGTATATGCAAAGATATAGAAAGCAGAGAGGAAGATAAATTAAAATTCACGACGTGCATTTAAAGAAGGAAGAAAAGAAAAACGGTAAAAGCTCGCGCTCGAGCTATGAAACGTTTCTTTTATTATCTCGTAAGTGCAGACGACATTGTTCCCTCGTCAATGCTTTCGGATCGCACACGTTCGACACAGTCGTTTTTTTTTTGTTACACCGTACCAGCGCATAAACCACTAATTCGCAATACGTGGTTGGCAAACCTTCACCAACGTCATTGGGTGTGTACGTTACACGTTTGCTGGCTCGAACTTGCCGATGAATAATGAATGACTGGTAGCGCGGTCGGCATTAGAACGACCAGGCGGTGTTAGAAAATGAAAGTTAGGAAAGTTCGCAAATAACGCGGAAGAACGTGTAGGAAAACCCGCGCCCGTCTCGATCTCGTTGACCGAATAAAGAAAGAGGGTCCGCAAGCGCCTGAAAGGAACCGAGCCTGATCTCCGTTGCTGAAGAAGCGATTGCGAATGAAAATATATTTTATTTTATCGATGCGTCAAATACATTAATTATTAATATTAACTTCTCCCTAAGTTCCTCATCAAAAATATTTACATTAGTTTTTTCTACATAGAATACTTTAATTATAAACTCTGATTTATCAAAGGGAGCTTTTTTTCACATGTATCAAGAAACCGAATTCACGATGTAGTTTAAACAGAACGCGTTATTTCTTGATGCACGCTTTATAATAGCATTATTGATGCATTTTCCGCGAATCGATTCTCGAATGGTGTATATGCGATATTGAACTGAACGCTCACGTATCATGAACGATCACGACTATGTAAAGATCGAGAAGACAAATGTAAAGGTCGTCTAATACGAATGCATCGTTAATGTATGCTCCAGGATGTCTCGATGTGCGTCTTCCTCGTCGCCTTCGTTCGACCACGTAGGAGAGAAAATCGCGGCCCCGAATCGCTATTTGGCTGATACCCAGATTCGGGCGGCAGCGAAAGTGTATCGGTCATAAAATCGCACGCGACAATCGCTCGTCTTCTTTGACTAGTCGGACGATGCACCGTGGGTGATGCCCTATAAATATATATAGGGGGTCACGATTCTGAAGCGAACTCAGTTTTTCGTCGGCATCGCCACTAGCAACTTAAACTCGAGCAATCATCAGTCATGAGGCTGCACCTGGTACCAGCGCAAATTTTTTCGCTTTTTTTTATTACTCAAAATCGAGTTCGATTGATGTAATTTTCACGGCATCGGAAGATGAAAAACGCGACGCATTCTTATTCAGTGATTTGTGAATCATTTGTGAATCGCGATGAATAATAGTGCATTTTTTATATTGTTTATAAAAAAAGTTATCGCGTGATTTAAAAATATAAAATAAATTTAATCTATACTTTGATAAACGCACTAAAATAATTGCTAATTGAAAATCATACGAGTCCGAATTGTATTCACTGCAGTAATATTAAATTCTGAAAAAATTGGACTTGTACAATTCTTAAAATAATTAATTTAATTAAATTGTTAAATATAGATAATTTCAAACAAATAATAAATTTATTTAAAATTAAAAAATGATTATCGGAGAAAAAATTCTACAAAGCAAAAATCCTATATATTATTTAATGTCTCTGTCACGTTTTCATAGATAATACCACTGATGTTCGCCAGCGGTATAGCAGTTACCGCTGGAAGAAATTCAGAGCAACGGAAGAGGACTATCATTAAGGAGAAGAAATACGAAAAAAGAGAATTGGATGGTTTGCAAGGGTACAGTTTACAGCAAGAACATCAGGAACAGCTGTATGGTCCGCCATCGGCTCCATCGGCTCCGGTTTATGAGATTCCAGCGCCAGATCTTGCGCATCCAGTACCGGGACATGTGCCGGAACAGCCAGCCATCGCCGTTGGACATCCATTCGGTTACTGAATTTATCAAATATATCTATTAAATCTTTGAAAAAATATATAAAAACATTTTAATATAAAATTAATTTAAAATTATGCAACAATTGAAACGTAGCTTATAACAAAACGTTTATCAATTGTCTTCTGTTGAAAAATTTATACGATAAAAAACAAAATTGTGATTTACCTCTGTGTGTTTCAGATTTTATTTATTTATTACATAAGCGGAACTTTTAAATGGAAAACGCGCGTTGTAATTATTATAATCATTTATTTATATTAATTAACATTCCCTTTTTTTTCAGCGGCGGTGCCAATTCCCTTTCCGCAGCCGGTACCGCATCCAGTACCGCATCCAGTACCGCAGCCGATCGCGGTGCCCGTGGCGGTACCAATCGCCAAACACATACCGGTTCCCGTAGCCGTGGAGAAGATCGTCCACGTGGCAGTACCAGTCCCCAAGCCGTATCCCGTCCCCGTCGAGAAGATCGTTCACGTGGACCGGCCGGTCCCGGTGCCGTTTGAGAAACCGGTGCATATCCCGGTAGATCGGCCGGTGCACGTGGCGGTGCCGGTGCCGAAACCATATCCCGTCACCCTCGAGAAGATCGTACACGTGGACCGGCCGTATCCGGTTCACGTGGCCGTACCGGTACACGTGCCGAAACCATATCCGGTGCCGGTCACCGTACACGCGCACTACAAATCGCACGGCTGGTGGTAATGCGCACATTTCCGCTTTGATATTATTATATTTTCGTCGCTTTTATCGTTATTTAATATAAGCATAATTTTTGTAATATAATGTATAAGTGCAATTATTCTAGATTTCGTGAATCATAATTAATCTTGCCCGACTAGAAATATACATTAAGTATTAATTTTTATTACTTTTCTCTGCGAATTTTTATTTACATATCTGATTTTTAAATAAATATTATAAAAAAATTTATTTTTTGTACCATGTGTGTATCTGTATGTGTGTATATATATATGGGAGAAAGAGAGAGAAACGAAACGAAACAAATTATTTCTTAACAAAATGTATACCTCTCAACAATCTTGAGAATAATATAATAATTTCATTGCTCATATATGATAGTAGTGTGAACTTGTTCAATTAATAAGTATCGTCATCATCATTAATGCAGTAACAAGATTACCTGTGCGACACGTGAAGTAGCTATAATACAAGGTAAGAATGACTTACTTTTGAGCATTTATATACCTAATAGCAGCAAGTTTATAAAGCTTTAAATTATTTCGTAGTTTGGCAAAACGTCCTTGTCCTTTAACCTTTTAATATTCAGTAATAATCTTTTACATTAATGTCGATGTTTTAAATATTATGTATGATATTATATTTTGTAAAAAAGAAAATATTAAATATTTAGCTTTATTTAAAATAATAATAATAATACGATTTATTTCAGAGACTATGTAAGAAAGTAATCATGCAAACAAAGTGTGATAACTTGGAAAACTGAGGTACTTTTTAATCAATATTACAGTTAGAAAATCTATGTAGCCTTTGTGGAAAAAGTTTCTTGTGCAGAACAATAAAAATCGCTACAGATATGCGAAAAGAAACGTAAACGCGAAGATTTTTGCGCACCCGCGTTATCTAGCAACCCCCTATCACGTTGGAGGGTGGTATCGTCGACCAATGAGACTCCATCGCGTGTCCTCGAATCTCCACCCCGTGCTTGCGCATCGAGCGATGTGGGGTGGAAAACGTCACATCTCCTACGATCGGAAAAGTGTACCGATGGAGGCGACAGGGAAAGGTCGCGTTTACCACGTAGCGGCTCTCTCATGCATTGTTGACGAGCGAATACTTATTATTAGCCGAGGCGTCGCATGGCTCGTGTTAGGAAGCGTACATAAATCCACTTTCGCGTCTATACGTCCGAGAACTACATTTTTTTCAATCAACCCCGAACAATCACCATCAATTTTCGATTATTCATCGATCGCGATTTATTGCGGATGGATCTTCCAATGTAGATTATTTCCAGAATGATATATATTTTTTTCGATGAGAAAGTAACATCATGAATATAATAAAATTTTAATCTCCAATATAACTGTATTGATTATTTTAAATTAAATGTGCGAAAAAGATAAGTGAATAAATTATCTCATTCTTGTATACTTTAACGCACTTTAAGCTAGAAAAAATGAAATTATCTTTATTCCAGCATGCTTAACAGTTGCTTTAGGTAATGAATTGTTTAGCAAATAAATTCCATAGTTACAAGGAAGATAAGCAAGCATAACCGCGTCAGCTGCTGTGTCTAAGAGGGTTAACTATACACGATATATCACCGATCGTGCGAATGAACGCGATGCTACTGGTTATCGACCATCATTCGCCAACCGTACGGCTGTTCCGTAAATAAAGCGCGAAAACACGTGGACGCGTTCTCGCCCTCTGTCATCCGAGAAAAAGGCTCATGTCATCCGTCAAATTGGTGGGCTCTGAAAGAAAACCGTAACCCCGTTACGTCGAATCGCTATCTCTTCGCCATCATAGCTCTCAGTATCCGTTTTGCGCTTAGCAATGTAGAGACACGGATTTTCTTTCTCTCGATACAAAACGCGAATGTTCTGCTTTGGTGAAGAGAAATTTTGATTGTGGACCACATAAATAGGCAAATTTGATAAACATATTCGTAATTGTACGAAAATTATGCTGGTCCGAATTTCGTAGTGTAGTATAATGCATCATGTTAAGTGTAGTTCGTAGTTTATTTATCTACGTGCTGTAATTTGCGAGTAATTCGAGAGATGGAATTTATTAAAGTAAATTCGCTACGACATGTGGTTTTCTTTCCATTACAATTTTGTGAATTCTTCTGATTATTTTTTATTTTACTATTTTATTTTATTTTATATTTTATTTAAATTTTCTTTTATTATTTTATAGAAAATTATATATAAAAATTTAAATTTGTGTGATAAGAGAAATTATTAATTTGTATTAAAATATAGTTATTGCTTTTTTTCGATATATGTTAATATATATATGTACGAATACTGATGAAGAGGGGAGGAAAATATTATTACATAAGATTGAAGGTAATTAGCAGAATGCTAATTTATATTGCATTGTATGATTATAAGTGTGCAACTACAATTATCACAGAGGATACATTGGATTCTCTGACAACTTCGCGATTGCGATTCTTCTCTATAAAGAATGATATATGACTTTTTTAATTCTTTTATTTAATTGCACGCGCGGAAACTTCGACTTTCTTTTGTATATAGCGATTTATTTTAATGGGACCTCGGTTATGATAACTACGTCTACGATAGACGTTAGTAATAATGTATAAAAGTTGCTCGTAGCGAGTGCTATAGAGTATCTATAGCGGACTCATATTTAATTAATCCTTCGGCGCCTTTTGCGCTCGATAGGCGTTACACTTGACACCAAAGGCGCGGATCCATAATACTGACTTAAAGGTGACAAACATCATCGCGATCGAAAGAAATGAACTTTGAGAGATCAATTGAGACAGTAAAACAGGTTACATCAGGTTACACTAAAAAATAATATTAATTTGATTTGTTGTTAATTTAATTTACTGTGTTATCACATTGCGTAAATTTATTATTATTTTTTATACTAAATTGTCTTTTAAAGAGAAGATTTTTATTTTGAAATTAAATGACTCTTATATATATCTTTAAATTAATACGCTAATTTGTAGAATAGAATATTGAAGGTATTAGGGCTTAGGTGAATTTTACTTTCTCTGATACCGTAGTCTACCAATATTTTATAGTCTATCTATAGTCCAATGTATAATGAATTATATGAACTTTTGTGTATTTAATTATGTTTGACATTTTCTTTTCTAGGTGTGAAACTAACGAAAATGACATATACATTTCGCGCATACATTAAACTATATTTGTAATCGATACATAGGAATAGACAAGCTTGTCCTTTCCCAAAATTTAATTAATTGATAATACATACTTGAATATATTATCAATAATCAAAAACATGTTTCGTAAAAAAGACTTTTTTTGTGAAATGAATGCCGTATATCAAAAATGTTTTACTTTGGAGTTTTTATCCGTATAATTTTGATATAATTTATTATGAATAAAACTTACAAGAAAATTTTGTCTGCTATAATTTAAATGCTTATAATTTGATGGGTTCAATTATATATTTGTGTTATTAAAAAATTAATTGTTAAACGAATAAAATAATTCTATAAACTATATATATTTTATATTTTACATTTTTTCAACTACTTAAAAGTTATTCTGTAATTAGTTACAGTCTTAAAACTTTACGTTTTCTTTAAATATATTTTACATTTTCTATATTCTTTAAAGATTTAAATCGCCGTCATTTTGAATTCAGTAAAGTAGCAAGATTTAAAAAAAAATTTTGATAAAATATTACTTTATTTTATATTTTTATTTTATTTTATATTTTCTATTTTAAAGTTATACGTAAGTTATATATAAAAAAATTGTAAATTTATATATAAGTTATATGTAAATGATAAATGTTGTACTGACAGTTTACTTTTGCTTAGCAAAATATCACATATAATTGCTATTTCAAATTTCATTAAAAAAATAATTTAAAATAATTTTGGAGTCTGTTACTTTTCGAACATATATGTTCATTTTGGATATATCGTAAAACTTGATATTTCAGATTTTGTTCTTCAAAGATGCAACCTGCTACCATTTTAAAATTACAATGTCCTCCACTTTTTTGTTGCATTATTAGTTTCTTGATGTAATTGTTTTTGAACCGGTAAAAAGTAAGACAATGCAAAGATGGACAAATCACACAGAATTCTCTTTTGATAACCGTACTTGTTTTTATCGCAGATCAATAAATGTTATCCAAAAGCTACTGATCGCGCAGTCGCAATAAACTGATGTCGTCGAATCACGGTGAATAAATAAAGATATAGGTAGATATAGCTATATATGTGAGAAAATGTGAACCGTGAGAGAAACTATGGGGGAATGGGTAGTTCACCAGTGAGAATTGCTGAGGACCGACGACGAGAAACGTCCAAGAACGCAAAATTTAAAACATCTCGGAATACAAGACGAAAAAGAGCATTTTTTTGTCACACAATCTTTTTGAAGAAAAATTTATTCAGGTGTGCTACATATGCTTCCTGGAAACAGACAATCCAATAAAAAAAAATTAAATATAAAAAATTTTGTGACTTAAAAAAATTATTCTGAAGCTTGGTCAATTTTGAAGATGTTATACGTAAGTTATATATAAAAAAATTGTAAATTTATATATAAGTTATATGTAAATGATAAATGTTGTACTGACAGTTTACTTTTGCTTAGCAAAATATCACATATAATTGCTATTTCAAATTTCATTAAAAAAATAATTTAAAATAATTTTGGAGTCTGTTACTTTTCGAACATATATGTTCATTTTGGATATATCGTAAAACTTGATATTTCAGATTTTGTTCTTCAAAGATGCAACCTGCTACCATTTTAAAATTACAATGTCCTCCACTTTTTTGTTGCATTATTAGTTTCTTGATGTAATTGTTTTTGAACCGGTAAAAAGTAAGACAATGCAAAGATGGACAAATCACACAGAATTCTCTTTTGATAACCGTACTTGTTTTTATCGCAGATCAATAAATGTTATCCAAAAGCTACTGATCGCGCAGTCGCAATAAACTGATGTCGTCGAATCACGGTGAATAAATAAAGATATAGGTAGATATAGCTATATATGTGAGAAAATGTGAACCGTGAGAGAAACTATGGGGGAATGGGTAGTTCACCAGTGAGAATTGCTGAGGACCGACGACGAGAAACGTCCAAGAACGCAAAATTTAAAACATCTCGGAATACAAGACGAAAAAGAGCATTTTTTTGTCACACAATCTTTTTGAAGAAAAATTTATTCAGGTGTGCTACATATGCTTCCTGGAAACAGACAATCCAATAAAAAAAATTAAATATAAAAAATTTTGTGACTTAAAAAAATTAATCTGAAAGCTTGTCAATTTTGAAGATCGAGAATTTTGGATAATTGTGAAGTTCATAATTTGCATTAATTTGAAAAGCAAAGATTTTGCTAATTTAAAATTGAAATTTTATTAATTTTAAAAATCAAGTGTTATCAAAAAGAATTTTGCTAATTTTTGAAAATCTTATATTTGATGTTATTTTTAAAGATCGAAGATTTTGTCGATTTTAAAAATCAAGATTTTGTCAAATTTGATAATCCACGATTTTTTTGTCTGTTTTGGAAATTGAGATTCTTGCCAGTGCAAAGAATGGGCATTTTTCAAGAATTCCTTTGTAAAGGATTAGAAAACAATACGCGTCGTGTTTTGCGTCAAACAGACGATGCAATGCGTAATCCTAATCTGAGGCGTCTATTATCCTTTTTCACGATCGGCAAAATTCTCAACATCGTGCTACATGTTACTGACAAATATAAGGTGTTAATAATTTTTCATCGAAATGACGAAGATAAAAAAAAAAGTATAATTCAGTTTTCTTGTGGTGTGTGTGTTTTAGATTAATAATATGGTGTCTGTAAAAAGGCTAGGACTCGCCGGCTCCTGTACGTTTTTCATGACGCTTGTTATCTATAATCTAGGATTTCCCGCTATATTGAAATCACAAGTCAAATCTGTAAGTAATTTATATATCCTTTTTTGACGATTTTCCAAATACTAAACTCAGAATTAAAAGAATGATAATTTTGTCAATTTTGAGACACCATAAATTAAGTTTCAAGCGTGTAAATATTTAATAAAATCTTTTTTCAATCAATTTTAAATAAATTTTACTATAGCTCATATTTGATTATCAATAATTATTAACATTGAAAATAAAAATGTTAATTTGTTATAGAGTTCTATATTCTCTCGATACACAAAAAAGAAAAGCTTGTTCCGTGTAAAAATGTGACATTTTATAAATTTACAGCAAATTAGGCTGAAAAAGGGGGATGAAATACGCGGTTTTTGGGAGAAACTTCCGCAGCCGCTGGATTTTAAGATCTACATCTTCAACGTAACAAATCCCTTTGAGATAAAAACAGGAGCGAAACCGATTGTGCAGGAAGTGGGACCTTTTCATTACGAGTAAATATAAATATCTCTTTTATAATATTGTAATTATATTTACGATATATATCGAGATATAATTTAGCCAATTGCATAATTTATAGTAAAAATAACTGGGTAAAAGTTTCACAGCACAGAGAGCTTTAAAAAGTATGTGAATACGAATTTGTGGAATGCATTTAAAATGTTGAAAAAATTTGGAAAGTGCAATTCTCGCCGATTATTAAATAATGTATATTTGTGATCCTAGTAATAACAGTTGAAAATAGTAATCATAAATAATAAATCAGTTAAGAAAATTAATTGCCCGCGAATTTTTAAAGTTAATTGCCCGCGAATTTTTGAAATTGTGATAAATAATAAACAAAGATTATGAAAAATTATGAATATTGAAATTATTTTCAGTTTGTATCGAGACAAAGAGAATATTGTGGACCGAGAAGCAGACGATACTGTCGAGTATAGTTTGCGACAAACTTGGTACTTCAATCGGGAAAAGAGCGTTATGTCAGAGGATGCGGAGATTTACACGTTTCATCCTATCATGATAGCAGTAGTCCTGATCATTCAAAGAGATAAGCCAGCTGCGATGAGTGTCATTAGTATGTAATTGTGCTACGAAATAAACATATCGTATGATTAAGAAAGTTAAAATGTATTATTAAACGCACATGTATTAATTATTAAATAATTTTAATCTTGGAATCAAAAGTGGGCTTCTATATTATTTAGTTATCTCAAGTAATAATTAGAAACTTCTTAATAAGAGTCAAAGTGTAAAATAGATGCTGCATAATATTTTTCGAAGGATTTAAGAAATTCTTGAAATCTGGTTGTGTATGTAGTACATTTTTTTTATTGTGAAATGTCAATCTGAGATTCTTTTTTTATGCTCTTAAGAAGTAAAATTATATGTATGGGCGTAAATGAAAAAAGTATCAGAGCTTGAATTCTTGGTTCAACTATCATTTCGATATTTTTTTCACCTTCATCCCTAAGTTTTCTCCTGGGGAGTATAAAAAAATCTTAGATTGAGACATTTCACAATTAAAAAAATGTGCACACAACTGAGTTTCCAGTATTAAATCCCCTAAAACATTCGAAAAATATTATACAACATCAATCTGTTCTTTGGCTTTTATGTGGCCGTTTCTAATTATTATTTGATAAATATTTAAAAATTATTGTTAATTATAATTAATAAATAATAATTAATTGATTGAAATTTATTTGTAACACTAAAATGTTTATCTTTTTATATCAGTTGCATTAATCATGTACTGATATATGTCTATTTTAAAATATGTATCATGAAATGTAACATGTGCTACAGCATAGTTCAAAATTTTGAAACTGTAAAATAGAATAAAAAAAATTATTCAAACATTTATTCTTATATTATGAATATTCTTAGGCAAGGCGTTTGACAGTATCTTCCAGAAACCCGAATCAATATTTATTAAAACCAACATGAAAGAGCTATTCTTCCATGGTGTACGTGTTGATTGTTCGGATGTAAAGGATTTCGCTGGATCCGCAGTGTGTGGCGCGTTACAGGAAAAAGAAGATATATTCGTCCGGGAGAGCGAGTTACGTTACAGATATGGTTTTCTCGCTAAGGTATGTACCTGTATTATTTTAAAGTTACATTTTTTGCGTAACTATATTTTTATATTGATGCAAGATAAAAAACAATTTTATGGAGATACTCTTTTGCTAGTCTTCAAAGATATATTACTGATTTTACACAAAGAATTCTTAAATATAGTATATATCTTTGAATGTATCATTGATATTATAAAACAAAAAATAATGGAGCTGTGAAAGCCACATTAAAATAAAAATAATTTATTTATAAAAAATAATTTGAACAATATTTAATAAAAAAGTTTATAAAAATATTAATTATTTTAATATTTAGCACATATGTATATTTATATTTTGTTTAGAGAATATTATATATTTAAAAATATAGTATCTTTTCTAATTATATCCTGTAATTTGCATTTCAGGCAAATGGAACTCAGTCCCCGGATCGCATAAGAGTATTCCGCGGAATCAAGAATTACAAGGACGTCGGCCGTGTATTATCGATAGGAAATGAAACAAAGATGAGCATATGGCCCGATAGTGGTCCATGCAACGATTATCGTGGCACAGACGGAACTATTTTTCCGCCGTTTCTCACCGAAGATAGAGATGTCTGGGCGGTTTTTCCAGACATCTGCCGAAGTATAGCCGCTTACTATGTCGAACCAGGAATGGTTCAAGGTATCGAAAATCTTCCATAAAGAAGTATTACTTGTTTTGAACTGACTTTTTAAATATCTCTCTCATGCATATAAATTACAAATTATTATAATTTAATATTCAATGATAAGCCAAATTTAATATTCAATGATAAGCCAAACAAAAGAACTAACTAATAAATAATTTTATTAAACCCTACTAATAGAATAATTCTGGAAAGTCTTAGGTTGAAATTTAATAAACTCGATTCATTAATACTATGCATAAAGATACGCTTACAAGATGTAAGATATTGAAATATGTGCGTTAAACATTGAAAATCTTAGATATTCTTTAAAATTCTGCGAAAAGCTACACGCTTTCGTCGCTCGTTCGTTTCTGAGACACTCTGTATTTAGAAATTAATGTGATAATATAAAATCAGACAATTTCGATAATTTTTCAACTCAGGTTTCAAAACGCTGCACTATACGGCAGACCTAGGAGATCCGGCCACGAACGAGGATATCAAGTGTCTCTGTCTTGAATCTGAGGGATGTATGCCAAAAAATATATATAATGCAGGTCCCTGCAAAAGCGTGCCTATAAGAATAAGCCTACCTCATCTTTATGACTCGGATCCACGATACTTGGAGATGATTGACGGGTTGAATCCCGATCCTGTAAGTTTATGAAATTAGTCGTTCACGAGAAACTTGTGTGTTAAAGTATTACAGATGTACTAATATATAATTTCTCGGATTATAATAAAATTATTTTTACGGAAGTAATGATAAGAAAAGTCTATATTAATTAAGATAACAATACAGGATGAATCTTAAATCGCGGAAATTGGCATGAATTATCGAAAAGTTATGGTATTTACAAGAATTATAACGAGATTATAATTGCTACCTGTGCAGGAGAAGCATCAGATGACTTTCCACTTTGAAACGATGACAGGCACGCCGATAAGAGCGTACAAGAAGATTCAATTCAACGTGTTGGTCGGACCTGTTCCTAAACTTAAATTGATGAAATCCTTCCCGGAAGTGCTCTTCCCAATATTCTATATAGAGGACGGTCTTGAACTCGGGAATGTTCTGATAAAACCGTTGAAAATTGCATACAAACAAATTTTAATCGCAAAGTGAGTAAAGTTATCGATTTTTTATTACATCGCAAAATTTCTTATTTTTATCGTGTTGTTTTAACTGTATCGGAAATGCTTGACACACTGTATATTCTGTCATATATTGTAGACAATATCAATTTATTTGAAAAATTGACAGTGTTACAATAGAGATTTGTTTACGAGATATATTTACATTAAAATTATTGCAATCATTATTTGATCTCCTACCTTAGGATATTGATGTGGCTTATGATGCTGAGTGGAATAGGCATGATGATCGCCGCCGCGGTAAAACATTATAAAGAGAAGAATGCGGGGAGCGTTTTGCAACCGAATCTTTTGCTGAAAACAGGCAAAGAGCAGAACAGCGCGTCACAAAAATCGACAATCAGCACCATACAAGCTGGAATGGTGCCACCCAGCATTGATTAACAGGGAGTAATAATTATTTGTTACCTATTCTATGCGAACACTGAAAGAGTTAAAGTTGAGAAGTGACGTTAATCGCTCGATATCGATTACGATTTACGTGTTGAAAATAATAATTTGGAGGATTTATGTTATTTAATTAATATTTTGATAACATATTATTCTAATAGCCCATGCATAATTCTAATTATACTAGATAAATTATTTTAATTCAATATAATTCTATTGAAACAATATCCGCGCCTTATCCGTGAATTGTAATTTGAAAATATTATTGTATATGTCTATACATATACGTATATATA